TCAGTGAATTAGGGTTTTCTGTTAGGTTCCCTTCCCTAGGATAAAAACTAATAGTGGCGACTCTTGATTTAAAAACCAGTTGTTAAACTAGATGCTGAAGACTTGTGTTTCTAATAACAAGGTTCTAAAGATAAGGTTTCTGAAGACCAAGTGCTGAAGACTCTAAAGACATAAGTTCTGGAGATTCTAAAGACTTGAAGCTCTAAAGACCCAAGGTTCCAAGAAAAGGTTCTCACAACCAAGTGCTGAAGACTCTGAAGACGCAGTTCTGAAGACTCTGAAGACTTGAAGTTCTGATGACCTTGTGTTATGTTATCGGTTATAAACTCATGTTTGTAGAAGCCTCTGAAGTGAAGAAGGAAAGAAGATGATTTTAACATGGTATAAATAGTATATGGTACAATCAATGTTTCATTCCACTACCATGAAAGGACGTACGCGTCGCACTATCTTGTCCCCCACGTTACCGTTCAAGCTGCCAATGTTTCTGGAAATCCTAAGAGTACCCCTCAACAGATATATTATTTTATTGGATATATAAAGGCTTGAAGACTAAGAGAGAAAGCTTCCAATTCACTGATTAATCACACACAAACATTGTTCATAGCTTTCACATTCTTAAGTCATTGTTCATAAAATAGTTTACATATTCAGCTTTTTAGAAGCAACATTCTTGTAAACAAAACTTGTATTCAAACAGTTGTTTGATATTCCTTAAGGGACCGAGTAGGTTTGTATTCTTAATAAGTCTAGGACTTGAAAGTTTTAGAAGTTGTTAGTCACTTGCGGGTAGCTTGTGCATTATAATAATCAGGTTGATTATTGTTTGATATTCCTTAAGGGACCGGGTACGTTTGTAGCCTTAAGAAGTCTTTGACTTGCGAGTCTTAGAAGTTGATAGTCACTTGCGGGTAGCTTGTGCAAATTGCAATCAGTTTGGTTATACTGAATTAAGTGCTCGATTGAGTGAGGCGAAATCACCTTGGCGGGTGGACTAGACTAGCTTGATAATTTTCAAGTGAACTAGTATAAACATACATTGTTCTTTACTTCCTGTTCTTACTTATTGTTACTATCAAGAGTGAAGATTAAAAGGATTTAAACTTAAAGGGGAATATTTTAAAGAAATTTTTTTGTTTTAAAACCCAATTCAAACCCCCATTTTCTTGTGTTTTTCACACCTTCATAGTAAACTACCAATCATGCTTTTATACAGAGTTTGGTCCACATCAACACCTTTTTCATCCTTATATAACTTCAAATGAGTGGGGGCAGGCATTCTCTTGTGAATAAAATTCTCCATACCAAACTTCTTCATTATGTTCTTGGCATACTTACTTTGAGAGATAAAGATAGAATCATCCACCTACTTTACTTGAAGTCCAAGAAAATAGGGTAATTCACCAATAAGACTCATCTCAAATTCAGACTGCATTTTCTTGACAAAATGTTGCACCATCTGGTCTGACATCTCTCCAAACACAATATCATCCACATATATTCGTGCAATCATGAAAATGTCATCATTTTCCCTAACAAATACGGTCTTGTCTATTCCTTCTTTTCTGTAGCCATTTTGACAAGAAAATATGTCAACATTTCATACCAAGCTCTAGGAGCTTGCTTTAATCCATAAAGAGCCTTCTTCAGTTTGAACACATGATATGGAAAAGATGGACCAATAAACCCCTTTGGTTGTTCAACATACATTTCTTCATGTAAGTACCAATTCAGGAAGGCACATTTTACATTCATCTGAAACAACTTGAAATTCAATAAACAAGCTACTTCAAGCATGAGTATGATAAATTCAAGTCTAGAAACATGAGCATAAGTTTCATCAAAGTCTACTCATTCAATATGTGATACCCTTGAGCTACAAGTCTAGCTTTATTTCTGATGACAACTCCATTTTCATCAAACTTATTCGTGTACACCCATTTTGTTCCTATGACATTTGTTCCACCAGGTCTAGGAACTAAATCCCATACATCATTCCTCTTGAATTATCCTAGATCTTATTGCATAGCATTAATCCAAAGTTCATTAGTTAAGGCTTCCTTCACATTCTTGGGTCCAACCTTAGTTACAAAACAAGAGTTAGAAACCATCTCCCTTGATCTAGTAACCACGCATTCATTTAGATTTCCTACAATGAGTTTTGGGATGATCTTTATGAGTTCTAATTGAAGGACGCTTGTTGGCTTGATTTTCATCAGGTGCTGTGTGAAACAACCAGCTGAAAATCATCAGACAATGAAGTCGCCATCGAACGTATTTTATCCCACATGAAGGGAAAGGTAAACATCAAGAAAACCTGGGAAGGGAGAAGTCACAGGCTTGCGACAGAGAGATCGGGTAAGGGAGTCTGTTACACAAGGGGAAGGTATTAACACCCTACACGCCCGTAGTACTCTATGGTATCCATTCTTGTTGTTCTAGTCAAAGGGTGTGATTTAAATCTAAGTTTAAGAGCTAAAATAAAATGCAAAGAGATAATACATGCAAAAGAAAAGAGAATTAATGTAGGGAAAATAAAGTTGTGCTCGTTCGGGCCCTACCCAGATGCCTACGTATCCCTTTTATGGAATCAGAGCAGCCGTAGTTTGACTCACGAGTTTTTGTTAGTTTGTATTTTTAATGAACAATATTAATTTCGCCTTCTGCTGCAGCTCGACCTTTGGAGACTTACGCGTCAGCACAGAAGTGAATCAACATGTTCTTTTGAAAAAGTTTGGAAAGAAGAGCCCGAAGGCGCAAAAAGCTTGCATTGGTTGATAGATTTTACCTTGAAGAAGGATTTGAAAGTTGTTAGATGTTATATTCTTTTTCGAGAAAAATAATTTTATTTTTAATGCAAGGATGAAAAGGAAAGAAAAACATCTAAGGGAGGCTATCTATATCTATCCCTAATGTTATAATACAATGATTGACCTTAAGGTTGAGTTTTGAAGGGAAATCTCTATCCTATTTTGACATGCTTGGATAACAATCCTAATGTCTATCTCAAATCACCATCTATAGATGAATCAAGAAGTCCTAAAGGAGCATAGCAAGGGTTTATCACATAAAACTATGTCTATCTCGAATCATCTTCAATAAATGAATCAAGAGCTCCTAAGGGAACATGCCAATGGTATATCATCTCAAAACATGCACACAAAGATGAAATCAAGCAATCAAGCCAATAAGCTCAAGAGAACACACACAATATGTCATGAGAAACACATGTTAACTCAAGTCAAATGCCTAACCATGATAAAGAAGATCAAGGTAGGTATAAAATCAGTATGGGTGCTTTAGCCAAGTGGTCATATCAACCGAGGAAAATAAGCGGGGAGGGGGTAGAAGAAAAGAGCATGGAGCATCAACATTGACCAACGTGAGCTCAAGAAAAAATGTGGGTGATTGATTACAGATCCCTTTTCCACTTGAAGACTCGATAACCATGATCTGCACAACTCCGAAGTATCGACGTACAATGTGAGCTAAGGATGACATGGACTGGAACATGCGGGGGTCGATTATAGACCCTCCCCGCTTTCCTCCTTTTGAGGACTTATTATCTGTAATATAATGCGGGCACAAATGTAAACACGCGTGCAGAATACCTACTTCGAAGGTAGGATTTTAAACAAACACAAATAGTATACAGAAAGTGGTGCCTGCTACAGGACTTTAAACAACGACTTCGAGCGCACGCTCTTTATTTCTTGCTTCCTACTTCACATGATTTCTAGAAAGCGATAAATTCCCCTACTATACATGATCTCTAGAAAACGGTAAATGTTGAAATGAGATAAACAACGAAAAATACCAAACGAATATCAAATCATAGCGAAGCGTATCAAAATAAAGAAACCCGACGATTTTCCTGAGAGCTTCACCAATCAAAGAAAAGAGTCAGAAATCAAATGCTCGGAATAAGAATCGAAGCATCATTGATGTGAAAATAAATCATAATCAAAATCTTGAGCATATTCGCACATCACACAGTAAACCTGCATAAGACTTAATCTTAACAAGCAAAGGTGAATTATACATCTCTAGTAATCAGATAATCGAGATTTAATTCATAAAATAAAAAAAAATAAAAAAATTTAAATTTGATTTTATTATCTTTTATCATATGGAAAAAGTTCCAAAAAACAAATCTAAACGATTAATAAATTTTTTAAAAGAAATTACTAATAGAATGGTATGAGGGGTGTAAGCAAAGATCATGGGTACTGAAGTAAACTACTCAGAATTCCAGGCCCAAGAATTAAGGTCCAAGAAGAGCTATTTTTTATTACAAAAAAAACATGCACATTGGACTAAGGGAGTGGGAACTCCATAGCCTCGTTATCCACCGTGAATCCAGTATCATCTCATCATTCCTGATCTTCTCCCTCCATTCAAATCTCTGTTTGCCGATTCCCTGTATTAGCATCTTTGCACGAATGCTTCTGTGACAAACTTCAATTCAACCGTCTCGCTCTCTCTTCCCGCTTGTCTCCGATCAATTCGCCTTCCTCTAACTCTATCTTCGCCTCAGTTCGTCATCTTTGATGCATCAACAACAACTTCGATTCGTGATTTTGTTTCGATCTTGATGAAAACGGATCAAATATCAGATGCTCATACAAGATGATTGAAGGGAGAATAAATACTCACACGTCGGAGTCGCTCCAAAGGTGTTTCAAGTGTGATTCAGGTATGCCCTATTTATCTCTTCGCTTCTATCTTCTTCTACTACATCTTTGTTTTCTCTTTTTTTTCTTCTTCTTTTCTTCTATACGATATTCTGAATGTATTATTTGTTGAATGTTGCTTCGATGCGTCACAATGTTGTTTCTGTTGCATTTACAATACAAGAAAGGATGGAAATCGAAGTTGAAGTTGCCATAGCGATGCTTGAAGCATGCGTGGGTTGAAGTGGAGATTATGATTACGGATGAAGCTGTGTAGAAGCTTAGAGATGACTGAAGTAGAAAATGAAGATGTGGTTATGGTGAATAATGCGCGAGAGTTGCAGAGGGAGAAGAGAGACTGGAGTTTTGGTTAAGATAGAGGTTGGGAGAATAAGAAGAGAGAGTTTTGGAGAGTGGTCTTTCTGCAGAATCTATAATCTCCTGAATCTGGTGAGTTTTCCTCTCTTTTATAATTTTGTTAGTTTGTTAGGAAAAGTCAGTTACAAGGAAATGATTATGTGCCCTAGGATCTGAGAAATCAGTTGCAAAAATGAATGATGAGACTCGAGGTAGTTATAGTTGTTAGAGAGTTAGTTATGAATGTTGATGAGCTGGCAAATTTTCTGTTATAATAGTTAGTTGGATAATTTTGACTTACTTCTATTTTCATTATTTCCTGATTTTTCTGCTTTCGCAGTGTCCTGAATTCATTTTCTAATTTTTAATGCAGGGTTGGGTTTTGGTTGTAAAACTCCAATTATTGACTCAGTTGGTAGTTTAATTGAAGTTGATTTCCTGAACTGGAAATCGTTTCCTGACTTTATGAACTCCTTCCTGCTTTTTCTTCTTTGGTTATTTCCTTCTTCCTTTGAACTGATTCTCTCTTACTTCTATTTTGGTCATCTTGTATTTTCTGGTTTTTTTCACCTTGAACAGGGCTACAGTTTGGATAGCAGGTCACCGGTTTCTACACTGATAATGCATGGCAGCTTGGATATGATGACTGGTTTCTGTTTTCTGTTAATTTTCGTTTTCTTGATATACTGACAATGGATTTTTATATGGTGGATTTTCTGGTTATGCAGGTTTAATTATGATGCGTATTTCTGGATATGTGCAAGGCTTTGTCTCGATTAAAAGGGCATATCATGGCATACCATCAAGATATAATTGAAAATGGAGCGACTTTGAAGCATGAAATAGAGTAGCATGAATCTTAGGAGCAGGTTTCTAAATTGGACTAGTTTAATATTTCTGATTTCTGATTTTTCTTCTGGTTTGATATTCCACGGTTTCCCTGTTTGGTTGGCTGAACTGGTTTTTAACTGCAATTTTCTCCCTTTAATTTTTCTACTGCGAATATGTATAATGCAGCTTGATGTTTTAAGTGATCTGTATCTTGACTTGGAGAACCCTGCTGAGACCGACCACCTGGCAGAGGATAAGAATTAAATGAAGACTTCTGTACCAATATTGGTTCACTAAAAAAACGTGTAAGCTCCGGTTGTTTGACTGGATATGAAGATGTTTGGATATTAGGATTTAGGCTTAGAACAAAAGTTTGTGTAATATTTTTTGTATGATGTTTATACATGATGGTCATGGTTTTGTAAATTGGATTTTTGGTTTGTAAATTATAAACATTGTAAACCTTGAATAGTGAATGTTGAACTTGGAATTTGAACTTTTGTACTTGAAACTTGCAATTTTGTATTATGCCCACTTGAACGGTGAATGAAATTTGGACTTGTAATCTTGAAATTTGAAATAATGATGAACGCTGAACTCATGTCCAAACTTTGAAATTGCCTTGAATATTTCTCGAGCGACCTTGATATTTGCTCTAAATTTCAAATAACTTGTTTCTCAAGAAATCCACTTGAATCCTCTTTTAACCTTGCATGTTTGATAAATGAACTTTAATCCAATTTTGAACAAAACATGAATTTAAATGATATTTCTCTTGAAATAGTCCAAGGCAAATTCCATGATCAAAATTCAAACTTCTTGAATGAACCCAAAGCAAATGACTTTTATCATAAGCCATGAAGCAAGCCCAATCTTCAATTAATGACCATGAATCAAATTGTCCCTAATATCACCCTTTATCTTTTATGAGAGAATAGATTCAATACATTATATTGATCCTCATTAATCTTGTGTAACAAACAATAAGAGAACCAACCCAACTTGATCTTAATGAATTCACAATACCCTCCTTATATCACGCCTTGTTATCCAATGAACATCCATTGAAAATGTTGATAAACCCAACTATGATAGGATATAAACCCTAATCTTTATTTGAATGGGAGAGATCCCCTTGAAGCCATAGAAATCCTAATTCCACACCTTCACTAATAGAAGGAAAACCAGGAACATCAAGCTCTATTTGATATGCACTCCTCAAAAGAATGTGAAAACCATGCTTGCACAATCACTAATCTTTTGAACCTTAAATGCTTTATTGAATGCAATATATACTCTGTTAATGACCTAATAGAATATATGCAGATGAATGCACAAGTCTAAGCCAGATAAAAGAAATTAGGAGGGAAATTTTGGGGGTAACAACTACCCCTATTTAATCGTCTTAAACTTGAAGGTGAGATTGGCACCAGCCTTTCGAACTTTCAAGATGGAAGAAGATTAAATACTAAAAGAACCCAAAATTTTGCACTCAGAATCTAGTCAGGTATTATTATATTTTTTTGCTTTTATGTATTTTCTATTTTTTTGCTTTTTTTGGATTAAAATGGTTATCTGAGTAAATCTCTTAGATGTCAGGTCAAGGTTAGACATACACGAGAAAGAGACCGATCGAAGAAGGCTCTGACAAAGGAACGCCAATCGAAGGCGAACTTGCTGGGGGTACAAATATACATTAACTCTGAATAGAACGTTGATCGAAGGTAAACTTAGAAAGAAAAGAGGCCAAACGAATGAGACTCCTAACAAATGATACGAGTTGGAGGTGGATTTAAAGGGGGAAGACTGTCGATCAAGGGCAAACTTACAAAGAAAAGAGACTTGCCGAAGAGAACTCCTAACAATAGGTAGCAGCCGAAGGTAGATTTAAAGGGTGCCAGTCGAAGGTGGACTTCAAGATAAAGAAACCAGCCAAAGGGGGATCTTTAACAAGGAATACTATGTTGAAGGTAGATTCCTAAGAAAATAACTTCAATCAAAGGCGAACTTACAAATGAAAAGAGACCAGCGGAAGGGGTCTCTTAACAAAAGGTACCAGCCGAAGGTGGATTTAAAGGGTGTCAGCCGAAGGTGGACTTCAAGATAAAGAAACCAGCTGAAGGGGAATCTTTAACAAGGAATACTATGTCGAAGATAGATTTCTAAGAAAATAATGCCAATCAAAGGCAAACTTACAAATGAAAAGAGACCATCCGAATGGGACTCTTAACAAAAGGTACCAGCTGAAGGTGGATTTAAAGGGTTTTAATCGAAGGTGGACTTCAAGATAAAGAAACCAGCCGAAGGGGAATATTTTTAACAAGGAATATTATGTCGAAGGTAGATTCCTAAGAAAAGAATGCCAATCAAAAGCGAACTTACAAATGAAAAGAGACCAGCAGAAGGGGCTCTTAACAAAAGGTACCAGCCAAAGGTGGATTTAAAGGGTGTCAGTCGAAGGTGGACTTCAAGATAAAGAAACCAGCCGAAGGGGAATCTTTAACAAGGAATAATATGCCGAAGGTAGATTCCTAAGAAAAGAACGCCAATCAAAGGCGAACTTACAAATGAAAAGAGACCAACCGAAGAGGACTCTTAACAAAAGGTACCAGCCGAAGGTGGATTTAAAGGGTGCCATCCGAAGATGGACTTCAAGATAAAGAAACCAGCCGAAGGGGAATCTTTAACAAGGAATACTATGCCAAAGGTAGATTCCTAGAGAAAGAACCCTGATCAAAGGCAAACTCATATGGGATAAAGATATGCATGTCTGGTCAGAGTTAGACACACAAAAGCGAAATTAGGCATCAAGAACCAAATGTTCAGAGTTGATAGCAAACACAAGAAAGAGACTAACCGAAGAAATCCCCCACGAGAAAGGACGCATTCGCCTAAACAAGGATGCCAAACAACTGGACTTTGAAGAGACATTGAAGGACTCTTAACAGAGAAGGTTAGCTACGCTAACGAAAGAAGAACCCGACTAACGCGGATAAACTGAAAACAAGGAACCGACTAAGAAGGACCTTCATAGAGCACTGATCAAAGGTGAACTCTACAAGAGAAAGAGACCAACTGAAGGGGACTCTGACAAGGATTGCCAAAAAATGTTGGGCTTTCGATAGGTTTGCAAATACACAAGAACTGCAAAATCCCTCAAGCCAAAGGCGGGGTGTAATTATTCAAGAGTGGAAATCATCTGAATTACCACATACCAAGTATGAATATTCAAATACTTGAGAAGCAAGAAAGGCTATACACCGACTCTTACTCGCACTCTAATCGCAACGACAAACACGGGTAAAATAACCAAAGGGTTGCAAGGGCATGAACAAACAATAAACTTACTGGGGAAATGGAAGATTCCAATGACCCTACTGGTGGTAAATCAAATAGACTCCGTTGGGGAAGCAGAATAGGATCACCCTAGGCTTGTTGTGGAGATAATTCAAATCTGAGCGCATAACAATCTAGTTACTGCAAGTAAACATAATGGCCTTATACTTATGCATGTTTGAATTTTTTATAGCGTAATTCTCCATACAATGGAAATGCTACACCTTTTGGTAGATGCAATGTAATGATGCATGTTTAGAAATGCACTGGGGAAAGCACGTTAATAATCGACTGCTGAGAAGACAATAAACTTTCGAACGATTATTCTTGAACATCTGATCTTCTATAGAGAAAAGGTAATATGAACTTCAATGGGGAACCGAGACTCGGAACCACCAACCTCTAAAGATCGATATCACTGAGGAAGTAACTTCCTGGGGAGAATGCTGCAAAAATAAATTGCAGTTCAGAGAAATTTCTTGAATTCTGATCAGACTCCCAACTTCCCGGGGAACAAATTCTTTATCCTTTGTTAGAAAGACGAGAGCTTCGCTGGGGATGGAAACTTTCTCGCGTAGAATTTCTTGACGAATATAACTTCTACTTGAGAGTATATAAATTCTTAAATAAAAAGAATTCTACTCAAACCACAATGGGAATAACACCAATGAGGGGTAAAATCTTCACTTGGGAAAGAAATAAAACATCCTGGGATAGAAACTCCACTAGGGATATCTCAACAAAATCTTCTATCGCCAGGGATGAAAGAATTATGATTGGCACTCCCATGTACACCACACTGGGGAGACAGAGCACCTGCTTCACTAGGGAAAGAAATCTCACTCCACTGGGGAATATTAGACAAGTTACTCTGAAAGGTCCCTAAAATTCGACTTCGATCGGGGATAAAGACTACCTCTTACATTGGGGAGCCAAAAGATTTTGATGATAACATCAATAATACCCATTGCATTGGGCGCAACCATCTCTGCTAGATTCAAACCGACGAGGATTTTTGTATCGGGAAGCAGAAATCAGTTCATTGAGGATGATGGTCGTCCTCATGAGGATACCAAACCAGAATTTCCCATAGGTAAACATGAATCTCTTCAAGAAATTCTGATATAGGCAAGCCGCATTGAGAGAGAGGGTTCACCCTTCACTAAGGGGGATAATGTATACTTCATGGGGAGAATAAGTGCGAGCCTCACTGGGGAAACCTTAGAAAGTTGACTTCAGGGGGAGTATATCAATAATATCCAATTAGTGCATAAAATGATTCTTCCGAGGAAACCTGAAAAGAAACAGACTGCACTGAGAAGAGGGAATACTCGGGCGAGAGTATGCCTTTATTGGGGAAAATATTGCAAAAATAAATTGCAGTTCAGAGAAAATTTTGAACTCTGATCCAACTCCCAAATTCTTGGGGAAGAATCCAATATCTCTTTCCGA